TTTTCCCCTATCAGACTAGCATAGATAAAAAGATTCTTGATAACATTCGAGGTTTTTGAAGGGGTAGGGAAACAAGCCCACCACCACACACACACACACACACACACACACACACACAGTAAATGGAAACTATCTTTCTGGAGGGCAAACTGACAACGTGTAATAAAATCACAAATGCCGTGCACCACATAATGACGTTTCGGTCAACGACAGACTGCACCAGATGACAGTGGTCCCATAAGCTTAGGTGTGTAGTAGGCTATACTATCTAGGTTTGTGTAAGTACACTCTATGATTGCAAAACGATGAAATCGCCTAATGATGCATGTCACAGGACATACCCCATCAAGCGACGCATGACTGTATGTATAAACTTTGACTCAGAAAGTACACTTCCAGGATTTATCCTAAGAAAATAATCAGCTAAGTTTGGACTACAAGGATGCATTACAAGTGTCTACAAGGATGTTCAGTGTAGTATTATCCATAATATTAAAAAACAAATAATTTATATGTATATTAAGACTGACTAAATGAATTACTGAATAACTACAGATACTAAAAATGAACGATCTAGGGGGCCGGACTGGTGGCGTAGTGGTTAAGTTCATGTGCTCCACTTCGGCAGCTCGGGGTTCACGGGTTTGGATCCCAGGTGCAGACACACGCACCGCTTGCCAAGTCACACTGTGGTGGCCTCCCATATAAAGTAGAAGAAGATGGGCACAGATGTTAGCCCAGGGCTAATCTTCCTCAGCAAAAAGAGGAGGATTGGCATTGGATGTTAGCTCAGGGCTAATCTTCCTCACCAAAAAAAAAAAAAGAAAGAAAGAAAGAAAAAAATGATCTATATTTAAGTGGAAATGATGAAAAATTCATGTTGTACAAAGTGATAAAAGAAGGTTTATAGCACAACGCAACTGCATTTCTAAAATATGTCCTGATATACATTTTAAAATTCTGGAAAATTAAGTTAATTAAATAAAAATTAACACTTATTTTTAGAGACACTTCTAAAGTAGAATTTTAAATACATTTTTGGCAATAAGCATGTTATTTTCTTTTTTAGAATTTTCCTTTAAAGTATATGTTTTGCTTTTTTTTCTCATTACAAAATACACGTACTCATTTAAAAAAAAGGGAGGAAAAAAGGGAGAAAAAAAGGAAACTTCTCAGAAATACATAAACAGAAGTGAAAGACGAAAGGCAATAATTAATTAGCTTTCTCCTGCTTAACGTCAAGGTGCAATGCTTTGCTTAACACCCCACCTCTCTAGAAACTCCTCTTTTGGCTTTCAACCTCTGCTCTGCTCTTTGAGAATCCCTTAAATGCACCCTCTTCTCCCACTCATAACAAGCTCCACAGGCATCATCTCATCATCCATGATTGCATGTTCACTGAGACCTATATGGTGACGATTTCTTAATCCCTGTCTCAAGCCTAAACTTACGTCTCATATTCACATTTCTGCATATGTGCTGTACACTCCTCAAAGTCAATATATTCACAAACTCTATCTATCTGCCTTCCCAACTGCCTACTCTGGTCCTATATTTTCCATCTCCATTAAAGGTTTCCTCATTTATTTGGTCTCCTCACGCTGGCAAACTCAGTCATCTTTGATCCCTCCCCTCAAATAACTGGTAAACAAATTCTGCCTATAGTCTACTTCTGAAATTTCTCCCTAATTCATCCTTTCCTCTCCATCTCACTGCCATTTTCAGAGTTAAGAGCCAAGGCAGGCCCAGCCATTTCTGACCTGGACTATAAAGCCAAACAAACATTTCTTAAGTACTCATTATATGCCACACACAGTAAAAGAAGTTGAGAAGATGAAGATTAATAAAGCAAAGTACTACCATCAAGCATATCTTGAGGTAGAGAGATGGAATAAGATAATACAACGTGACAAGTACAACAACTGGAGCAAAATCCACAAGATGTTAATCTCTTTCCTATCTGATCTAATCTTACAACTACCTGAATTATCTTTCTAGAATACAAACCAGATCATGTCACTCTTTTGTTGTAAAACCCTTGATGATTCTACTTCATTGCCTACAAGGTAAAGTCAAAATGCTTTGATACCATGCAAACACTTCACAAAAAGGTCCCAATCTACCTAATAGCCTCATCTATTACTTCACACCCCATAATCCAGTCATGGATTATGCTCTGATAATATGCTAGGCACTTTCACAACACCTAGTGTTTGTGCATCCTGCTGCTGGAGATGGGCCCTTTTTCCTTGGGCCCACCAGTGGAAGTTCTGTCCTACTCTTAATCAAATAATACTAAGGACAGAAACTATACCTTGTTACTCTTTTTATCTTTCCCAAAGTCTAGCAAGATAGTAAATACTCAAGAAATGTTTGTTAAATGGATGATGGGGTGGAAACAGATCTGCAGAGAATCAAAATGTACTCATCATTACATTATTTTTTTGGTTCTCTGTCTAGAATCCAGGGGTCTACCTAAACACTAAGGCCACTACCTATCACCCCACCCCACCCCCACCCCCACCAGGAGCCCAAAGGAGCCCATGTTTCTTTTCTCCCCTCTTCCTAGTCATCTGGCTATCCATCCACCCATTCCACAAATAACAACAGTAAATAATAGACAGAGAATCCCTGACCTCCAAGGGGCTTATATTCAAGTAAGGAGAGACAATTAACAGATAAACAAATATATAAAATCATTTCAGATAGTGACCAACAGAATGAATAAAATAAAGCAGTTTGATGGGACAGAATGTGGCTAGGGGAGAAATGTGCTATTTTAAATGGAGGTGGAGGAGAAGTCACAGGTTTCCCTGAGATGGTAACACATAAGCTGAGGCATGAAGGATGAGAAGCTCCAGCTAAGCAAAATTTGGGGAAAAAATTCTGCAGGCAGAAGGAAGTGTAAGTGTAAAAGCTCTGAGGCAGAAATGCACTTGGCTATATGAGAGACAGAAGACAGTATGGCTAGAGAAAGAAATGAGTTTGGAGAAGAAAGCATGACCTTGTAGGCAGTAGCCTTAGTGGAGGCCTATCTGCACCTGCCTTGAGTTTGGAATTTCCTAGTTTATATCTTCTGCTGTCTGCACAATTTTCTACGTACTAATATCAGAGCAAGAGAACAATGGAATGGGGTATATGGCACACCCTATTGTTAGGAAGACTTCAGTTGATTCTGAAAGTACCTCTTCTGGTTTCTGTTGATAAAAAGTATTCTTGGCTATAATGCCATAACAATATGGCCCCATGGCTAATGAAAACCTGATAAGCACACAAGAATAAAACCACTGGAAAAGAAAGACAAGTTCTTTCTACTGCCTATAAGACAAGTCAAAATGAGAACTACCAAAATTATCCTAGATTCATGAGAGGAAATAAAACAAAAACACTCTACTACTCCGAAAATATACATGGGCTACAAATTTATCCTTTTAACTGAATGGATTTTTCCATTCCCATGTAAACTTAAAGATCATATAATACAAATCTAGACTTAAGTAATTAAATAAAATAGATTTCCAGTTTTCACTCACCAAGATTTTTCTTTACTTTTATAGAAATTAAACAATTTTATGATGTTTTGGGAATGCATGAATTTATATGCATTATAAACTGCCTCTCAGCAGTAATTTTGCGGATGTTTATGTCACAACCTATTTAATTCAGGTACTACCGTGATGTTAGAGCAAAGTCAGTACATTACATAACTGAATATTCACGAAACCAGCTGCTAAAGCAACTCAGTAGTTGCCAAGGAACTCAAGCAGTGTGAAATTACACATCTTACTCCTATTCTCAGTAGCATTTGCTGGCTTTGATAACCTGAACATGAACACATCACTAAATATAAAGAGCCTTTTATTATCTCAGTCAGGTATTAAAATCCCAGGCTGCCAGCCTTCCACTGATAAAAATAAATACATTCTCAGCATCCCTAAATTCAATTCTGTACCCAGTGATCTCTACCTAGTGTGGTGATGTTTCCCTGAATCTCTCTATGGGGGATTAAAGGTAAGATTTTTTCCATCTTCTTTTGCAGAATCATCAGAAGTAGCAGAGGTAACAAACAATAACCGTCTTATGCTCCCACACTCCCACACTCCCAAGGGCCAAAGTCTCTTACAATGGATCTTCATAATAATCCACAGACTCAATGGCTATTAAGAAAAAGAAAACACTTCAGCCTAAAAGGGGACCTCTTCACATTCTCTAAGCTGATGTCCAACTTCACACATTTTACTATAATCTTTCATTTTCTCTTCTCCATTTACCTAGGGAGGGCCATAAAAAAGTTTATAAATACCCAATGTAACTTCCTCCCAATTTCACATCTTCAAACTGGTTGATTTTATCATTATTCATCATCTCACTCATAAATTCATACTTGAAATAAAAAATCCATTTCCTCGGTTGAGAAATAAAGTTGTATAATTTCTCCCTGGAGTTCTAGCTCAATCCTGATGTTGGGACTTTCAGAAAGAAATGCAAACATAGATCAGTTGGCAAGCCTCTCTAAACAGGATATATATCCTTGCAGACTAAGTCTGGGTAATACTGAGTAAGGATTTACTCTTCCCTTATCAGAAGTAGAGTTTGAATTTAATAAGGCCTTACTCCCTTCTAAAAGTGTGGTTCAAGGACCAACAGCATCTACATCACCTGGGAATTTGTTAAAAAGACAGAATTTAGGCCTCTACCTCTTAGACCAACCAAATCAGAATCTTCATTTTATTGATATCTGTATGCAGATCTCCCTACATCATAAAATCTCAGAACTCGTGGAAAATTTAAAAGCCTATCACACATAAAGAGAGATCAACCTTGGATAACAATTAAAACTGATAATGACTATAGTCCCCTTCACAAATTCTTTAGTTCTTATAACAGGTCCTCCTTAAGAGAATTTCTCATAAAATTATAAACTGCTTGTCTTGAAACGCACCAAAGCTTATGATAGCTGCTGCTGTTAGAGGAAGCCACTCATGTAACCAAGTTCTTACCTAATCTGAGCTCTCCGAAGTTCCCACACCCTATCTTCTTGCCAACTCTGAAGTTGGGTCCCACCATAAGAACCCCAGAGGATGTTGAGGAGCCAGACGGTCGGGAACAGTGTGCACTCCTTTGTGCCATGGGTTTAGTTGTTCGTTGTCTTTCATCCTTCTCCCTATTAGGATGGTCCATGATCCTACACGACAGCCTCTGCACAACAAGTAGCCTCAGTCTGTATACCTCTCTTCAATACAAAAGTATGTCCAAATAAACCGTAGTCAGAGAAGAGTAACGGGTTGTTTTGGCACCATATTTATGTTTCTAATGTATCTCCAGAAGATGAAAAACCATTCATTAGTTCTTGTAGGACACGTAGTCTGTAGGTCTCAAGCATAGGAGGATATTTTGTAACCTAGGTAAAAATCAAGAAAACATACAGTTAAAAAGAAAATTTTAAAACAAACTGAAAAAGTTACCACTAATTAGAATGGATCCTATCCAAAAATGAGCAAAGTGGATATCTTCCTGAAATGGGTTTTGGTTTTATATCCTCCAGCAGTTTAGCCATCTGGACTAGTTATTCATCTTGTAACATAAGCTCAGTAGGCTGCAGATCATGGCAGCTAAGGGAACACACAAGACTTGAATATAAAATCCTTTCTTCTCCTACTGTACAGATGATCCAAAAGAAAGCTATCTGTTGGCTTTTTCATCACTGGCTAACAGAAAGATATGGTGGGGTTAAGCCTAAGTTAAATAAACTGAGGACAATTAAATGCTCTTCCTTTTAATTTGGATAGAATCTATCAGAAATGAGGCTACTCACTGTCCCCCTCCTCCACCCCACCATTTACCAAGCACTGACAGCAATCACACAATCCAAAACAAGTTACTGACTGACAGAGACTACTTTTATGAAGGACTTTCCAAAACTCTAATGGCACTAACTAGTCCTAGACTAAAGCTTTGGAAAGCTCAACTTTTGGTCTAGTTTTCAGTGTGGACTGAGTATACAATGATAGAATGTCTGAAGCAGATCCTCTGCACAATCCCAAAGTGAAAATAAAGTTGAGAAACAAAAAATCTTAAAGAAAAACTCACCCCTAGTGGAATTCTCCAGTGTCCTGACTCAGGACAAAGCCCAAGACAAAAGTTTACAATGAGATAATTTTGACACTATTTTTAATAATCCAGGTGTATATCCTTAACAAAAAATATTCTGTTATCACTAACCAAATACTAAATACATTCTTATGTTTCACTTTCATTAAGTATTTTCCTTAAAATTTTAAGGAAGAAGAGAACTAGAACAACTGCTTAGCTATTACTTACAACTGCTTATTGCATGCATATAATAAAGCAAAAATGTCTAGACTGTAAGCTTCTGACAGACACCTTTAATTCTCTACTACAGGGACGGGCACAAACCCATGAGCTGACTACAAATGGGCACATGACCCGAGAATATAATCTGTTTACTTCATTATAGTAGTTGAAATGTTTTTTATCTTTTCTGTTTTCTCTGCATTATTCAAACTGTATAAGCCTAACTTCCACAAAGCTAATCAATACAATACATTTCTCTGAATTTGGGAAACAATACACCTACATTCATAATGTTTATTCTGTTAAGGAAAAAAATCAGGGTGATGAGAAGAGGTCAGTAATTACTGGATTTCCTACATGATCAACATTATGAATTCATATTTCTCCTTATTCTTTCTCTTATTTCCAACCTAATACCCTCCAATTATTTTTGTTGTTTACCCAAAGTCCCTCAAACAATATTACTAAGAAAAGTGAAATAAAATTTAAGATGTTTTATTTAGATAGTCCCATATTAACTGGTGGGAGTGTGTCTACGTATGAGAAACCGTCAGACTATCCTTTCTTCCCTTATAAATTTTTAGGACAGGAAAAGAATGTATCTTAGCTTATCCAGACAATTTTGAGCATTCAACTAACTCCCAAATTTTCATAAGTTATCACTAGTATCACAGTTTCATTTAAAAGATTTGAAAATCTGTACTACCTTGTCTATTGCTCTTTTACTGTTTTTTAACAGATGGAGGTTATTTTTATAATGCTTGTCAATAACTTTCTCCATTGCACTTAGACTCATGTAACATTAGGTGGAGTAATCAAACACAGCCCTCATTATCTATGTATACTTGCGTGTACGTATCAGAAAAACATACAGTACTTGCCAGATTAGAAATTTGCAGAAAGCCAAAATTCACATTCAGCTGGGAAAAGGATGTTTTTAACACCTGCTTATAGACCAGAACAATCACTTCACCTCCCAAAAACACGGCAAAAACTCACATTTAAAATATCAATTTTCGGGCCGGCCCCGTCGCTTAGCGGTTAAGTGCGAGCGCTCCGCTACTGGCGGCCCGGGTTCGGATCCCGGGCGCACATCGACGCACCGCTTCTCTGGCCATGCTGAGGCTGCGTCCCACATACAGCAACTAGAAGGATGTGCAACTATGACATACAACTATCTACTGGGGCTTTGGGGGAAAAAAAAGGAGGAGGATTGGCAATAGATGTTAGCTCAGAGCAGGTTTTCCTCAGCAAAAAAAAAGAGGAGGATTAGCATGGATGTTAGCTCAGGGCTGATCTTCCTCACAAAAAAAATATCAATTTTCTAATCTATGCACGGGACATTAGCAGGGTCTAATCTAATTATGAAAGATGAATAATAATCAGTACTATTTTAAGCAGCACCTCTCATTTAAGAAATCAAATAAAATGATTAATTTTTTTAAACCCTATTTATCACCACCCACTGCTCAAAACTATTTTCTACTTCCCAATTACAAACTCTTTAGCTTGTCATTTGAGTCCCTGCAATATCAACTCCCTATTTAAATTCATGTATTAAGAAGCTACTACATAAACACAAGGAGCATCCATTTTTAGCCCTTATACCTAGAACAGCCTCTTAACTCTTCTGTCTTATGTAAGGCCTGACTCATATCCTAGGTTCTTGGGAAACCTTTTATAACCAATTCATCATTAACACTTGGAGCATCACTGTCTATACCACCCATTTGCCACTCCCATGTACCAGATTAAATCTCATCTAAATTCATTAGTGTTAAGACATAAGCTAATTAGAATTTCCATTTCACAAGGATATTAAGTGGTTTATTTACAGTTCCTAGCAGATAACATATGAAAAAGCTACCTCAAGAATCAGGTCAAATAGAATACCCAAAGTAACCATTAAGTTATACTTTAACCTTATTTTTAAAAAAATGGCTTCCAAGGACAGCAGTAAAAGACAAACTATATGCTTATATTATTTCTCCTTTTTTAATAGTTAAAAAAAAGGAAAAAGGAGAGAAATTATATAAATGCAGTAAATAGACGTTTATTTTTCTGGTGAATAAACTATTTGGCAGTCACTTGTAACTTATTTATTAAACATGTTAACGTTATGATGAATACGTATTTGGATTTTTAGAGTCATATCAGCAAGTTCCTTAAGAAGCCTAATTCTAGTAGTTTCTATCAATTTAAGCATACCTGAATTAGAGGAAAGATAAGACATTTTTAAAAGTATGACACTCCACATATTCTTTGTAATCAAAAGTTATAGTTTATTTCAGGAACTGGTTTTATCCTGCCCAGAAGGCATCACTCTATCATAAAGCCCCACTTAGCTACTGAATAAAAAGAAATTTATACACATGGATTTCTTGACTGTGAAATTATAAGAGCTCTCTAGCATATTAAAGAGTTACTGCAAATAGTAAAATCAACAAATTCATTTCATCAAACTGTGGGTGGGGAACTACTGCCACATCTGCCTGCTTTACGTCAGAGTTGAAGAATATGGCTATCTTTCAGCAGTGGTCAATAGAAAGTTTTCCTTCATAGACCACTCTAGAAGCTATCTTATAGCATTTCATCACATCGAAATGGGAGAAATTTATGTTTCTTGTAACTGCCACCCTGAGCCAACATATAAAGAAATAGGTCAAAACTAAGAGTTTCTCCGGCCCAAAGTCACTCTCTGTAAGGCAGCAATGAATGCTTTGTGGGAGAGACAGTCATGGTCTTTTATCATGAATGAAATGACTAAAGTGAATTTATCGCTTTATGTAACAGTATTTCGAGAAGTTGCAGGAAATCTAAAAAAAAAATTAAGTCATATTATAAAACCATCAAAGAAAATATTTAAATAATTACAGCTGTGACTCTGTTACGTGAAAATAAATCACTGATTGACAGTCTGTTATTTCAGATTCTCAGATATTGGCATTGTCAAAAATGAGGCACATAAATATTTAAATTTTAAAGTCAAAACACGCTCGGCCTTTGTTGATGGTCAAGACAAGAGACTGTCAGGCTTCTAAATCTCTCTCTTCTGATATAACTTATGGTGAAACTGTTTATAGGTGTAGGACTGCTGGATCATATGGTAAGTGTATGTTTAACTTAAAGAATCTCCAAGGTGATCAGATGCTCTCTTCAACCATTCCTTCATCTACCACATGTTGTCTTTGATCCTAATGCTTGCAGGCTCTTGCTCACAAGTTTCAGCTTTGGGTATCACTTCCCACACCAGTGTCCAGAACAGAAACGAAAGGGCAATAGCAAAAGACTTTCTCATCATGTATCTGTTTTTTGGTGAGGATGAAAATTCTTCCCAGAGCTCCCAGCAAAATTCCCCTTATGTTGAGTTGCCAACAAACAGTATCTGCAACAATATCTGAAATTCCCATTGTAAGCTCCTTAAAGAATGAGATCAAAGCCTAACCCAATGTTCAGAATGTAGAATAAATCTCAAGAGCAGTATCACACCCAAAGAAGGTATTCAGTAAACATTCAGTAAAAATAATATCTGCATGTGCTTGTGCGTGTGTGCTAAAAAAGAAAAAATTATAGGACAATAAAAAAAATTATAGGACAATTTATATAAAAATAAAAGACCCATAAACTCGTTTTAGCTTTAAAAAAAGGACACAATAAGAACTTCACTTTAATTAACCTAACAAATGATCAAAATTGATTTATTTTAGCCAAAATACATTATGGGAGTATTATTAAAAGGAAAAACAATGTTCACAGATTCTGGTACTATTACTGTTTCTCTTTTCCACAAATTCCAATTATTAATGTTTCCATTCTTACCACCCCAATCCTCACTGTTCAGTCTATTCCCATGTGACAATCATTTTTTCCAGTTTTATTGATATATAATTGATATATAATATTGTATTATGTTAAGGTGTACAACAAAATGATTAGACATTGGTATATATTGTGAAATGATTACCAGAATAAATTTAATTAACATCCATCACCAAACATAGCTACAATTTTTTTTCTTGTAATGAGAACTTTTAAGATCTACTCTCTTATCAACTTTCAAATGTATGATACAGTACTGTTAACTAT